TAACGCGTTGCCCGGTGGCAGAGCATCCTCCGGCAGAGACTGAAGCCGGCTCCGTCATCGTGCTCAAGGATGAAGTCTACAGAGCTTCGGCATCCCTTGGGTTTCAATATGGTCCGATGTTCCAGCGGATTCGCCGCGTCTCCTTCCCACACCCCAAGCGCAGCATCGGAATATTCGAGGACCAAGCGCCGGCTTTTCCCGGCGCGATGACGGATCTCATCGCCCTCGACGCTGCGTTTCACTGCCTTTTCGCGGCAGAAGAAGCCGGTGTGGCAGATATGCCGATGAAGCAGATGGTGCCAGTGCGATTCGACAGGGTACGCCTGCATTCAGCGAGCACGATGGCCGCAAAGGTCGTTGCACACACGTTGCGTCAGTCGCCCACGTCGATGCTGATCGATATCGAGCTCTTGGACGCCAGCGACAGGGTCATATTGTCCGCCGAACGCGTCCGTCTGGTGGAGATACCGGCCGCCAAGGAAGTCGACTCGAATTCGCTTGTCTATCGGACCACCGCCTATTTCCTGGATCGGGCAGGTATGCCGTCGCACTTGGTGGCGGAGGCCACTCCCGCAATCGATGCTTCGCATGAGGCGGATGCCATCGGCGAAGCACTGATGCTTCTTGAGGCTGGATGTCTGCGTCAGGCTTGGGCGGCGTTTCGCTCCTTTGATCCTGCGGCAACCGCAATCGCCGAGACGGAAGGTGATTGGCATGGATATCTGACGTCTGCATTGCTTTGGCATCTGGAAACGAGGGAACTCGCCCGGGAAGAAAACGGCAGTCTTTCACTCGTAGAAGATTGCAATCTGCCGACAGTTCCTTCCGTCGTGCAATCACTGCTGGCACGACATTCCACGATGGCTTCGGAAGCGGCCGGCCTCGCAAGACTGAGCGAGATCATCGACCGGCTCGTCGCGGGCGATGCGACCGTCGCGGCCGACCTGCGGTCTGCTCACTGGCGCCAACTGGATGTTGTTTCCGAACAGATCTCGCTACTACGGCGCCTGATCCACCGGCAGATCGAGCGGGTATTGAATGCCCGCGCGCCAGATCGTTTTCTTCGTGTACTCATGGTGGGAGCCCACCATTCCGTCATCGTTGCCCAGCATTTCGAACGACTATCCGGTGTCGAGTTTTTCATCACGGACATTGATGCCGATCGGTTGGAGCACGCGCGTTCTACGCTTGGCAACGACTCGACCAGAATCCATTGCGTCTCATGGGAAGAGCTCGATGGCTTTCCTGCCGGTTCGTTCGACATCGCGGCGGCGATCGACGCCCTGAGTGAAATTGCGGCATCCCAGGACGGCCTGCAGCGCCTCAGGCGCGCGCTGCGGCCTAACGCACCTCTCATAGCCGGTGAACCGGCTCCCAGTCTGTTTTGGGACCTTATCCGTGGCATTCGTCCGAGCTGGTGGGCGCGTTCGGCAAACGCCGAATTCCCGGTTGGCGCACTGTTGACGAGCCGGGAATGGTCCGACGAGCTGGCCCTGGCCGGATTCGCAAAGATCTCGGTGACACCCGTACTGGAAGACGAGACCATCGGAATGGTGCTCAATGCCGCTGCAGTTGAAGAGCGGCACGATCTGGAGGGAGAACGCGAAGGGCATTGGACGTGGCATGGCACGCAGAGCCCCAAGACGCGCCAGCTGCAGGCATTTATGGATCGGCGGTCAGGGGAACGAGAGCACCTCGGGAAGCGCACTGCCGGAGGAGTGATCTGGCAGGTTGACGCCACAACCGAGTTCAATGCGGACCATCTTGCCACTCATCTCGATGGAATTGCAGATTGCGCTCGACATCACTCGCCGCCGGCCAATGCTATCGTCGTGCTGGTGGATTTCGGTGATGGTCAACGCCACCACTGCGCATGCCTGCAAGAACCCATATGGACGGCATTGGCAGCGGCCTTGCGCGTCATGCAGAATGAATTTCCTCAACTTTCCATACGCCATGTCGGCGTCGCAGGCTCTCAATCGGCGTCTAATTTCTTCGAACTCATCGCAAACGAGATTTGCTCTCCAGATGACGAACGCGAGGTCCTTTACTGGAATGGCGAAAGGCTCGTATTTCGCGTGCAGCGCGGCTTGTTGGCTGAAACGCAGATAGTGCCAAGTACCGAGACCGAAGCCCTGCAGCTCATGGCGCGTAGCGCCGCTACGCATGGTTCTTTGCTATGGCGCTCCCGACCGAAGATGGCGCCCGCAGCGGGAGAGGTCGGCATTGAAGTGCGCGCGACTGGTCTCAACTTCCGAGACGTGATGTGGAATCTTGGCCTCTTGCCTGAGGAAGCACTCGAGGAAGGCTACGCCGGAGCGTCTCTGGGCATGGAATGCTCAGGCGTTGTTTCTGAGGTTGGCGAAGGCGTTTCAAACCTCACTGTCGGAGACAATGTCGTCGCCTTCGTGGAAGCAGGCTTTGCAACCCACGTAACCGCTCCCGTCTTCGCTGTTCGACGTATACCTCATGGGATGTCTTTCGAAGTCGCAGCAAGCGTCCCTGTGGCTTTCCTGACAGCCTACTATTCGCTCGTTCGCCTGGCGCAGATCAGACAAAATGAAATCGTCCTAATTCATGGCGGAGCAGGGGCCGTTGGACTTGCCGCCTTGCAGGTGGCGCGGGCCAGGGGAGCGCGTGTAATTGCTACGGCTGGCACCGAAGAGAAGCGCGCATTGCTGCGAGACCTTGGCGCCGAGAAGGTTCTGAATTCGCGTACCCTATCATTCGCAGACGATGTCATGGCGCACACGAACGGGAAGGGCGTCGATATTGTCCTCAACTCCCTGGCGGGCGAAGCCATGATAAGATCCATGGATTGCCTACGGCCGTTCGGGCGCTTCATCGAACTCGGCAAGCGTGATTTCTACGCAAATACGCATGTGGGACTCAGGCCGTTCCGCAAGAATCTCTCCTATCACGGCGTCGACGTCGATCAGTTGATCGACGACCACAGCGATCTTATTGAAGAGATGTTCGATGAAATCCTCGATTACTTCAGATCAGGAGACCTCAAGCCCCTGCCGTATTGTCTCTTCTCGGGCGAGCATGTCGCTGAGGCCTTCCGATTTATGCAGCGGTCTTCACACATTGGAAAAATCGTCGTTTCGCCGGCCAAGGTCGCTACGCTCCCCAGATCTGCAATGGGGAAATTCCCGGTTTCTCCAGATGGCTGGCATGTCGTCGTTGGAGGTACCAGCGGCTTCGGCTTTGCGACCGCGGAATGGCTGATTGAACGCGGCGCGAAGCACGTCGTTCTCGCCAGCCGGTCGGCTTCTCCCGGCGAAGCCTTGCAAACCAGGATCGACGAATTCCGGCGGGACGGAATCGAGATCGGCGTGATGGTGCTGGATGTCGGTGATGCCTCGGCGTGCAGAAGGGTGTTTGCGGACCTTGCCGGCATTCGTCCAATTCGCGGCATTGTACATGCCGCCATGGTTCTGGATGATCGCCTGATCCAGAACATGGATCGGGAAGCGATCCAAAAGGTTTTGATTCCCAAAGTTTCC